GGCCACCAATGAAAGCATCAATGAAAGGATGCTTCATAACCATGCCAGGGGATCATGTGGAGGCAGGCAGGCACAGGAGAAAGATTATTACAAGGTTTATTAGAGGAGCCATATTTCTCCCAGAGAGAGGACGCATGGCAGCCTCCACTATCTAGATAGCAGCAGGGTCTGGGGGTTAGGAAGTGAGGGAGATGGGAGTTCTAGTGGGTCTAGGCAGAGAGAGGAAGGGGCCAGCTGTATGGTAGGAACTCCAGGGCAGGGAGGAGCTCAGGTCTGGGTGGAGCTCAGGACCAAAGGTGAGCATAATGCTTACACCCTTCACAGTGGAACAATCTTGTCTACCAACCTAGCTCTGTGTATAGTGTCAGATGTCCATGTGTCTTCACCCAAGCTACTGTGTTGAGAAGCAGAGATTATCCTTGAAAAGGAGCATAAATTTCCAGTTATCCTGAAGCCCATTGAAGTATCTCAACCTGCATATGTCTCCTTCACTTTGTGGGCTTGTCTAATAATTAAGAGAACACAGTTTGGGAAGGTGGCTCAGTGATAGAGTGCTTGCCTTGCATTCTTGAGGCCCTGGGATCGATTCCTCAGTACTACATAAGCAGAAAAAGCCAGAAGTGGTGCTGTGGATCAAGAGGTAGAGGACTAGCCTTGCGTTGAAGAGCTGAGGGACAGCTCCCAGGCCCAGAATTCAGGTCCACGACTGACAAAAAACAAAAAAGCAAACCATGTTCCACACCTGGGTTAGACACTAAGCCTAAGCAGAGTGAATAAAACCCTAAAAATGAAGATTATGTTAGAATCTACGAACAGAGTCTTAGAACTAGCAGCACACGAAAATGTCATCCATATTGGGAGGAGGCTACATGGAGCTTTGAAGCAAGAATGAGGCAGAATCTCGGTGTTGTTTGGATTTGCATTTCTTTTATGGCCAGAAATATTGAACAACTCTTCATGTGTCTATTGGCCATTCTTATTTCTTCTTCAGAGAAATCTTCCTTCAAGTCTTTAGCCCACATATTAATGTGGTTGTTTCTTTAAGGATTTTTTGTTTTGGGGGATTTATTTTTTGAGCTCTAAATATATTTTAGATATGAGGCTCTAGTCTGATGCCTAGCTAATACAGACCTTTTCCATTCTGTGGGACAATCATATGCTTGACCACCTCAACTTTCACCTGGTTCTCTTTTTTTTAACACACCATAGTGTGACTTAGTCATGACAGCCCTAACATGAGTACAGACAGATGAGGATTAAACAAAATGTGCATTAAAAATATTCTTATGCAGAACTTAGGTGAGTTACTTTGTTAGGTGTGTTTGTTTCCTTTGTGTCAAGAAATAGTTCTGTTTAAGATGACTCCCTTCCATATTTCATGCAAATACCTCTTTTCCATGGACTGAGACTGCCTGAAACTCTTGCTATGGTTACAAGTTGCTGATAGGAAGAGGCACATGTGAACATGATCTTGGGCAATGCGTTCCTGGATATCTTCTGAGAGATGGGCCATGCCCTCACTGTGTCATCAGCTGTGAACTCCTCTCATCACAATCTCTTCAGGAAATGCATTTCCCAGCACTCCATCTATCCCTAACCTACAAAGAAATAGAGAGAAATGGGAGTGCAGACAAATGAAAACTTCATACAGGTTTCTTGTGTTGTCATTATATATATTTTTATTATCTATAAGTAGTTGTACAAAAGAGTTGTCATTAAATATGTAAGTTTATAAATGCAATGTACCTTGATTGATGTCACTTTTTTTCATCTTTCTACTTCATCTCTCCCTATCCTACCCCTTTCTTACATACACATTCCCATGTACAAGGAACTAGTCACACAGAATCGAGAGGATATTTTCCACATGAGGAATCAAGAATACTGATCGTAGGATGTGAAGCTAGAGTGAAATTAGGAAGCCCCAACATGGAGATCAGCATGTGGTGACACACTGCATTGTGTAGTGTAGGAAGTCACATTTGGGAACAGATGAGCAGAGCATTCACATGGAACTGAACATTATAATTTGAAGTAGCGGCTGTGGGTGCACAAAAGTAACACAGCTGCTCAAAGTAATATAGCCCACAGATAAGTCATTGTCCAGTCAGAGACTTCTTCAGTTCACTCACTATATAAACTGTATCTGAGTCTTGATTTGACAATCTCCTCCTACATGCACAACATTAAGACTATCTGCAGCAACATGATAACATAACTGCTCCAGGAAGGATTTTACCATGTTCTTCCTCCTTCTTTTGATGATGACTTATAATTTTACTATCCAAAAGCTATACTGATCCCTTCAAATTCTCTTTTATTTAACTTCTGTTCTTCTCATATGGGCCTGTCAATCTTTGTTACTGCCTTTACTGGGAGAAATTTGCTCTCTCTACCATTCATTGTAGGACAAAGCTGGTACTAAGTAAGGAAAATGTAGCTGGCTGCTGGGTAGGTATGAAAGCCACCTGGCACATCAGAGGGGACATGATAATAGAATCACGAAATTAGTTTCCAAGAATACCTATTCAAGTTGGGTTGAAAGTAGCCAGGCTCTGAGGACTACACATTAAATTCTCATGATCCATGCTCCATGTCTGGCTTCAGCAACATGTGTCTTATGAATTGCAATCCTCACAGACTTCAGGAACTGGAATACATGGAAGAATTTGAAACAATGACCTCAAACCAAAGATGTGGGCAGGCTTCTATTTTCCTGGCTTGTGAGGGAAGGAGTTCCTGACTGAGAGATGTAGCTGAAGATAGGGGAGTGGGGAGACCAGAAGAGCTTTCTGTGGATCTTCCTGGAAGAAGGAAAAGCCCCAAGAAAAGAAAGTGTTTATAATCTAGGACATGAACTTGAATGATGTCTAGGACCTAGGTGAAACTCTGAGAGACCCATAATTCAGAGCAGGGCTGACTCTGTGAGAAGGATGCTCCAGGGCTGTTCTCACTGCTTCTGAAGGGAATCAGCAGGGTACTCAGGACAGAGTTGTTGTATTTCATAAATGAATGAATGCAGAAGTTATACATCTATTGTTCTGCATTGAATTAGCTATTAGATTAACAATTTAATATATATAATTTTAATTGTTTAACACATCATTTTAAATTCTGACCCTGAGAATCACCACACAGCCCATGCTCACTCTTAGCCTGAGCATCATGAAGCTCAGGATAAAATCTGTGCCCTTGAGGACAAGTAGTGACCTGCTCGCTGCCGAGGAATCCAGGGATCTAGTGGGGACAGCACTGACACTGCAGCCCCCTCTCACCTCCCACATGTTATGCACACATGTTCCCTTCAAGGCTGCATATCTTAAGGGTCAACCCTCCTTCTCTTACCTTTCTGACCTGTACTTAATGACATCACTACAGGAATCTTGGTGGAAGTGTCATCCTTATCAGGTGTGATTACACTTTCAAAGTAAAATATGAAATAGAAACTTTCACATGGGGAGACATGACCCCTCTAAAAGCATGGTCCCAGCTGCCTATGTACCCTGAAAGCCTAGAATAGAGCTCCCTAGTTTATAGCTCTTATTCATAAAGGGGCAGTATTACCCATGCTTTCCCAGGGTTTAGAAGGTCAAGATTTGGATTTTTATCCTTGTGTGCATTGTTTGTCAATGCACACAACTTTGACAATTTGTGACAAATCAACAGGTAAGCTTTTCATTTGGAGTTTTGGCTTGGTTATATTATATTAAATGATTACCTCAAACAGTTCTGCAAGAGAGTCCCAGTATTTTCCTATGTGAAATTATACCATTTTATTTGTTTTACCTCTTGATTAATTGTAATTTATGTATATTAATAGCATGCAGTGATTTCTTGATAATTCTATACTTAAATGCATTGTACTTTCAAAATTTTCACTATTCACTTTATATTTCCAGTCTTTTCCTGTCTAATGCATAACATTTTTCTGACAGTAGGTAATAGACTCCATTATTCACAAGTGAATGTGTGTATGTATAGATTACACTATATATTACATTATACTTAATTCATCTTCAATCATTAGTGCCTTTGCTCCCTTCCTTTCCCCCTAATCTATCTCCTTAAACATTTTCCCTTTTTGGCATTCATGACCCATTATTGATTTTTATTGTCACTACTAAATAATTATTATTATATCATCATCATCATCATTTAGGTTCAACAAATGAGTGGGGCCTTGGACAATTTGCTTTGGGATCTGAACTTATATCACTCAACATGATATCTAGTTCCATTCATTTTTCAGCATATTATAGATTTCATTGTTCATCTTCCCCTCTCTCCTTGCCACTGATCTAGGGAATTACAAGCCTCAAGACTTTACTAAAATACCTCCTTTGTCCATCATAGTGCTTGAACTCAGGACTTGTACACTCTCCCTGAGATATTTTGCTCAAGGTTAGCACTCCAGCATATTGAGCCCCAGCTCCACTTCTGGTTTTCTGGTAGTTAATTGGAAATAAGTGTCTCAAAGACTTTCCTGCCCAAGCTGGTTTTGAACTGAGGTGCTTAGATCTCAGCATCATAAGTAGCTAGGATTGAGCCACCAGTACCCAGCATGATCCACCAGTACCTCATTTTAAAGCGTGAACAGAGGAATCCTAATATGTAAAGACAAAGTCAAGCTGAGCCTTCATCTCAGACTTAAAAGGGAAAACACTATGCAAGTCAGGAAGTGCTTGTTTAAGAGGAGCAGTTTAAGAGGAGGAAAGAGAAGGCAAAGATCTCTCTTGTGACCAAGTGGAAATCATATCGACCTGAATACCACATTGCAGGTGCTCTGAAATACAGACTTGTGTTATTTATAAGGCGAAAAAAGCCTTGTCTGGTTGGTGCCCCTGAGGCTGAGATGGAGGAAAGATAAAATTGAGAGGATTGTCATTGATGGCCTGGACCAAACCCCCACTGAACCTCAGAGCCTTTCTCTAGCTGAGAAACACTATCTGTAGGCAAAGGCCCCAGGAGGAACAGCTGGGGCAGCCCAGCCTCTCACTTCTGCCTCCCTGGGAGGTTTATGTTATGGCTTGTATCACTGTGGGAGGAAAACTACTACCCTGTTGACAGTAATAAGTTGCAAAGTCTTCAGACTGAAGGCTGCTTATGGTGAGCGTGAACTCTGTCCCAGATCCACTGCCACTGAACCTGGATGGGACCCCGGATTGCAAGTTGTTTGCCCAATAAATCAAAAGTTTAGGAGCTTTCCTTGGTTTCTGCTGATACCAATGTAAATTAGTACCAATGCCCTGACTGGCTCTGCAAGTGATGGAGACTCTGTCTCCTACTGATGCAGACAAGTAGGATGGAGACTGAGTCATTAGGATGTCACATCTGGCACCTGACATTGGAAACAAAAGACAAATATCAACACAATTAATTTTGCTCTGAGACCATTCATGAAGAATGAGGCAACACTGTTAACAATGGGCTGAATAAATTCCTAGCATCTCCTTCCTTACCTGGGAGCCAGAGCAGAAGGAGCCCCAGGAGCTGAGCAGGGGCCCTCATGTCCATGCTGTGTGCTGACTGCAACTGACTCCTGCACAGGGTGTGAGCAGACTATAAAGAAATTCTCAGGGCAGTAGGCTGTATTCTGGGCACATGCAAATCCTCAAGCAGTGGGCAGAGCTGCAGGCCTGGGCCAGATGCAGGCTGGCTGAAATGCCTGTCAAAGCCCAGAACTAAAGTCACCAGGGGTGGGGTCTCTAGAGACCTGCAAAGAACAAATTTGTCCTCAGAAAATGTTTTTAAAGGAGGGTGTGACAATGATCAATAGGAAATGAACTCATTACCTTACTCATGTAACTGTAACTCCTCTGTACAATATCTTTACAATAAAATATATATTAAAAGAAAATGAAGGGACAGTGTTACTGGAAAAGAAAGGAACCTTTGTGGAATGGTGGCCCTTAGTCTACAGCCTCCGCCCCCACCCCAGACAACTTCTTTTTTCTTACTGAAGAAAGAACCACTGACCTCCCCATTGACTCATCAGGAACCAGTTTCCAATGTATCTAGCTCTTTTTTTCTTTGTGAACATTAAACCTGACTCCTGATGTCAATCAGTCTGAGGCTTCCTCTCTCCACCTAGTGGAGGAGCCTGACCCACCCTGAAGGCCTGGCTCTGCTCCCTCTCTCCACCTAGTGGAGAGGAGCCTGACCCATCCTGAAGGCCTGCTCAGCTCCCTCACTCCACCTCTGAAATGGGTTAAGATCTTTCCTGCCCTAACTCTGGATTTTAACTGTTTGGACAGGATCTGTCTGTCATGTTAGTGAAGTGAAACATTTTTAAATGTTAAATAAACTTTAGTGCCTCTAAAAAAATAAAGAAAAGAAAAGAAAATTAAAATCTATGCATTTATACAGAAAAAAAAAGAAAATATTTTTCCTTGCAGACCTAAGGCAGATTGACTCTATTGTTCTCTACTGCTCTTTTTTTTTTTATAAGTGCATTTTAATTTTGACATGATCCATGATATGCTTTACTTTTTTCTTTTTCTTTTTCTTTTTTTCAAGTTGGTTGTGAGGCCTGAACTCTGGGCCTGGGCGCTGTCCCTCAGTTCTTCAACTCAAGGCAAGCACTCTACCACTTGCGCCACAGCACTACTTCCACTGCTTATTTGGGGCTGAGGAATGGAACCCAGGACCTCATGTATGCAAGGCAAGCACTCTACCACGGAGCCACCCTCCCAGCCCCATGTTATGGTTTCATGACAGCTTTTTATATAATTCAGTCACTCAGAAAAAAATTAAACAGTTTTACAATTAAAATAATTATAGAATACTGCTGCTCTGTTACTAGATATTATGAGTCCAGATTCCCAGAATTTTCACTGTTTCCCTGTCCTATCCCAAAGAATAATCATAACAGTATTACCCAGAAATTGATATGTGATAACACTAATCATAGGTAGGTAGGTAGTTGGCTAGGTAGAAGTAGACAGATAGAAATGTACATCTGTAGGGAAGTAGAAAAAAGAAAAAAAATGGAAATTTAAGGAAAGAATAAAAGCAAGGAAGCAAGGAAGGAAAGAAAATCCAGAAAGCTACCTAGGTAGCTAGGTGGCTTAAATTTTACTTTAAAAATACTATGCAAAAGAAAAATCGGAGCAATAAAAAATCATGATCTGCAAGGTATAGACCATCCCCTGGCCTTTGCATTGGTGCCCAGCACACTCCTGATAAATGACTGTTTTTCTTCTCTGGTGAATGTTCTTTCCCAACGCCTCCCTCCAGGAAAGTTCATATAAGCTCCCCTAAACACCCCTAGCTTCTACTAAGGAAAGAATTTGATGCTATTTCTAGCTTAGTGAGCATTACACATTTCTACACCAGACATTTCCTAAGCTTTTGGGTGTCATGTATCTCCTATCTTTATTATCTGAAGCTGAGGCCCCTCAGAAGCTGAGGTGTTCTCTAAACCATGAACTCATATCTACTTCAGTGTTCTCCATTTCACACATCTGTATGTTCCTACATCATCCATTTTGTGTACTGTAAGTGAAGGTATCGACTAAGTGATGGTGTTTTTAATGACTGAGTTTAGGGATTATGTCTCAAATAGGCATGGAAGGGGTAAAATGCAACATGTCCAAGGATGAAGACTAGGAATTGGAGGTAAAAATATAGAGTGGACATCTTCATACAGTGAGGACAAAGACCGCAGACAGTGAAGTTAGAGTAAGTGCGAAGGCCTTCCCACATGAGGATCAATCCATACTACACCCAAACAAGAACATAAAGTGAATGGCCTTTGGGAAACTTTTGTTTACAATGGGCAGAAAACTCTATGACAATGCACTAAATGGGAGAAGCCTAAGAAACATTTGTGTTAGGAGTACTCTTAAATGTAGCTCTGGTACAAAACAATGCGTGTTTGAACTTCCATCCTTTTTCATGACATAAAAGCCTATAAATCCCTTGGAACTTTGGGGAGGGGAGACAAGAGAAAGGAGAGAGAGAGAGAGAGTCAGAGACAGAGACAGAGACAGATGCCCAAGTCTGGATTTGAATAAAGCCTAAAATCCAAAGATGTTTGTTACACGGTGCTCATATATTACATGCCACCCTCTGTAGAACTTCTCTTCATGATGTGAAACACAAGAAATATCCAATGTGGATAGATAACCACTCAGAAGATGGAGATCTGAGGATCACAGTCCAATGTCAGCTCAGACAAAAACCTCTGTGAGACTCTTACCTCCAATTAACCACCAAAAGCCAGCAGTAGAAATGTGGCTCAAGATGCTGGGCACTGGTGGCTCACGCCTGTAATCCTAGCTACTCAGGAGGCTGAGATCTGAGGATCATGGTTCAAAGCCAGCCCGGGCAGGAGAGACCGTGAGACTCCTATCTCCAATAAACCACCAGAAAACCAGAAGTGGCGCTGTAGCTCAAGTGGTAGAGCGCTCGCCTTGAGCTGAAGAGCTGAGGGACAGCGCCCAGGCCCAGAGATCAAGCCCACGACCGACAAAAAAAAAAAAAAGTAATGTGGCTCAAGCAGTACAGCTCAGGGACAGCATTCAGGCCTTAAGTTCAAAGGCCTAGACAGCACAGTAAAAGGGGTAAGAATCTTGAAAGACCAAGTTAGGAACAGCCAGAACAGTCTTTGTTCATGTGATGTCTGTCAATACATTAAATGGAATGCTCTATGAGATCATTGATTTTCTTTGATGTGCTCAAGATTTCAGGGTTGATGATCATCCCTGATACTATTAGTGTATAACAATAATTTCTTTGTGTTTGGGGTAGGAGTAAATGAACAACTGCCCCAATACAGTTTGAGATCTGTAGCTGTTTTGCTTATTACCATCAGGTGGGGCTGTGGAACCTTCAATGTGTCAGTGACAGAGATGTGGGAGGACTTGACATGGGAGAGGAGAGACTGCCACGCCTACTCCAGTGGAGTCTGCTTAGCATGGGAAACCAGCTTTCAGACCTGAGAATGGGGCTTTACAGAAACCTATCTCGGAGTATTGGGACTTCACCGAAGTCTACCTCGGAGAATAGGGCTTCAAAGAGGCTTACCTCCTGGAAAGCCTGGCAAGCCCCTGGGAAAGATGTTTCTGCTTTTCTTTTCTTCACTGTATAAGAGTGCCTATTAATCTTTTACTGTTTCTGCTGTTCATTGTACTTACTCATTGTCAACGTTCCCTTAATCAAAGCTCTTTCTTAAGAGTGTTGACGACTCCAATATCTGATGAGTGTCTTAAAAATATGACTAACTCACCGGAGTTAAGTGCTACCCTGAAAGCCCCTCTTATGGAGGCTAGTAGACAAGTCATAAGTAAATATAAAAGTATTGAGGGTTTCACAAGTCACTTCAGCAGAAGGAATTGTTTGTAAGAGATTTACAAGAAGCTGCAGGCGCAGCTAGAACAGAAGGAATGTATGGCAATTGCTGAGATAACTACTTAGGAGAAAGAACTTCCTGTTACTCTCTTTCATTTACTAAGAGACTTGCTAGATCTAGGCCCCGTGACCTTACTATTAAAGAAGGAACAAGATTTGCATTTCTTTTATGGCTAGGGATGTTGAACATTTCTTCATGTGTCTATTGGCCATCCTTCTTTCTTCTTCAGAGAAGCTTCTCTTTAAGTCTTTCGCCCACTTACTTATTGGGCAGTTGTTTCTTTGAGGATTTGTTGTTGGGTGGTTTAATTTTTTGAGCTCCAAGTATATTTTAGATATGAGACCCTTGTCCATTGTATGGCTAGTAAAGATCTTCTCCCAATCCGTGGGCTTTCTATTGATCTTGCTAGCTATGTCATTTGCCCTGCAGAAGCTCTGCAACCTTATGCAATCCCACTTGTCCAACCTTTCTTTGATTTGTTGTGTTTCCGGGTATCTATTCAGAAAATTTCGGCCTGAGCCAAGGAGACCCAGGGTTTCTCCTATTCCATCCTGTAATGTTTTCAGAGTGTCTGCTTTGAGTTCAAGGTCTTTGATCCATTTGGAGTTGATTCTGGTGCAGGGTGATATACAAGGATCTAGCTTTAGTTTTCTACATGTAGTTAACCAGTTTTGCAGCACCATTTATTGAAGAGGCTGTCTGTCTTCCATTCTATTGTTTTAGCTCCCTTATCGAAGATTAGATGGCTATAGGTCTGTAGGTTCATTTCTGGGTTTTCAATTCTATTCCATTGGTCCTGAGGTCTGTTCTTATGCCAATACCAAGCTGTTTTGATTACTATGGCTTTATAGTAGAGTTTGAAATTTGGTATTGATATTCCTCCAGCAGTGTTCTTTCCGTTGAGGAGCGTTTTTGCTATTCGGGGTCTTTTCTTGTTCCCTATGAATTTTTGGATTGCCTCTTCTGTTTCCTTGAAGAATGAGGGTGGAATTTTGACAGGTATTGGGTTGAATTTGTAGATAGCCTTGGGAAGTATTGCCATTTTCATGATGTTAATCTTTCCAATCCAGGAGCATGGGAGGTTTTGCCATTTTTTAAGTTCTGTGTTGATTTCCTTTTTCAAGATTTTAAAGTTTTCATCATAGAGGTCATTCACTTCTTTAGTTAAGTTAATTCCTAGGTATTTTATTTTTTGTGGGGCTATTACAAATGGAGTTG